GGCCACTAGGTCATTTCTGTCCCTTAGTGCTTCAGGAAGAGATCTTCACTCCTTCACAGGAAATTCTGGGTACAATGAAATGTTTAAGACTCCAAGACAACCATGTAAGAAGGACACCTAGTGTAGTAGCTACAGTCAAGTTATTTTCAGCTTCTACCCCCAAAAGAACTGTCAAGAGACATGCAAACATTCCTCTCTGGCTCTAACAAGCAAACAACATTAACAAGACCTAAGCTCCAGACTCTTGAAGGGAAAGACATTTTTTTTCCCCCATGTCCCTTCCTCAATTTATTAAAAAAAAAAACAAAAACAAAAAACAAACCCCAAAACATCTAGCAAATCATCTAGCAGCTGTTAAAGACTGAGGGTGCACCAGCCAGTGTATTTTCTTTAAGCTAAATCACCCATAACACAGCATATGAACTGTTCAGTAAGTTATCCCTTACTGCTTCAAATAGTTTCTGAAATTGTGCTTACCTTGTCCTATCCAAGATGGACTACAAAACACCTGAATAAATGTCTTCCATTTGCAGTTTTAATACAGCTGACTACAGGAATGTAATTCCCAGATTTTGCTGTATTTAGCAATGAGATCTAGGACAGAATAATAAAATAGAACACGATATACCATACTGATGCTAAAGCCAAACAGTGATTACTTGTTGTCTCCCAAAACAGATTGTGTGAGATGAGTCCAAGTTGGCTGACTAATGGGAGATAAAGGACAGAACAAAAATATTTATGCAAGAGAATGTAGGTGTGGCATCATTACTGCTGTGACTACCAATGGACCAAATTGGCTGTGGGGCTAATGGTGATGAGCACAGTCTGACTATTTCAAAGACACACTGCAGCCAGCTTGCTTGTAAAGAAATAGTCCTGAAAAGGACATTTTAGTAACAGAGAAGCAATTAGAAAGACAGCTTAACCAGGCTGGTTCTAGCAGCCTTTATAATTGCCTTCAAAAATTATTGTGGTAGGCATTATCAAATGTACTGACTACAGCTTGCAGATGGAATTATTCCAGCTGTCTCTTATGCTTAGATGATTCACAGCATTTCAAAACTGATAAAGCCCTATTCATCACAGTATCTACCTATAAATTTTGGTATCGTGATTGAGGATAAAAATTAGGGGAGAACAGAAATGAACTCCTGGATTTGAATCAGCTTCAGCAAAAGTATGATTTTTGCCTCCCTGTCATACAGTCACTCTGGCCTTATTTGTTCAAGTCCCCCGTGAATCTGTAGTTGATTTTGCCAACATGACATCCAAGTGAATGTTTTGGATGAGCGAGTTCTACATCCTAAAACTCAGCCTTACCACAAGAGTACTTTGGATCCAGACTTGTGCAATACATTAGATGGAAATACTGAACAGCAGAGCCACAGTGAGACATTTACTGGAACTGGGTATTATATGGATGTTTTTGGTCTTCTGAGACACCCCAACCTCCTCCCTGCAGTATTGTAACCACAGGATAAACAGAAAACCAAAGCTGTGGAGCACAAAAGTACTTAAGCGGAAAGCCCCCTTTCTGAGCTGAGGCCTGATACGCTAATCTCAAGGTAGATTGTTTGCAGTGCTTGACCAGTCCCTGGAACAGCAGGCAAGGAGCGGTTATTGTCTGGCTCGCTGCTCCAGAAGTCCCTGTAATAGGAGAAATCTTTCATAGTCCATCTCTTGCTTTCCAGTTTGTGGGAGCACCCAACACCAACAGCTAGCTATGATAAATCAGCACAATGCCATGCTCTTTTAGTGCTTTGTTTTTCAACCTCCAGTAGGTTGGGGGGGGGGAGGCATCAAAGTATTCTTTAGAGTATGTCCTGAAGACTAACCATTTAGGACTATTTCAAACTAAGGCTGGAAATTCTGAAGTCCCCTATGGGATATGGTCTGCCAATATTCCCATCTGTTTTAGACCATTGGTATAGTTAGTGCATCAATTCTGCAAATACTCTGCTAATGCTAGCCATTGAATTACATTACTTATCAGATACAAGTGAACAGTAATGGTCAATATATGAAATTTGTAAGGGTGCTTTGCTTTCCTTGGAAATATTTTAGGTGAGGGGTTTGTAAACTGAGATAAGTTGAAAACCACTGCATTAGGCCATCCATACTAACACACCTCCGCTCCTGCAGATATATCCAACATAATTCCCTACTACCTCAGTCACCAGCCAGTTAGCAAAAAAAGAAGAAAAAAAAATCCCCCCCCCAACAGTGACCAGAATGGTACATTTGTTCCTCCACAAGAGATAAAGCTACTCTTTAACTACCAAATCTATTATATAGCAAATACCAAAAACAGTTTTCAGAGAAACCTTGCAAGGGTGAACTGTACTCTACTCAAATTCTTACTATTCCTTCATTACTGTCTGTGGGTCAGATAAATTACTACTCCTTTTCTGAATCCCTTCTGGAAAAACATGAACATACCCCAGAGCTCAGAAGTGGCACACACAAATTGTGCTGCCATACAGCAGAATGTTTAGAGGATAACAGACATAACATGACATTGAAGAAGTGCTCCATCTTGCCTCGGTACACAGATGTTTTCTTTTGTTGCAGCTTTGAATCCTGAGATAAGCAGATGTTGCAACATTTCAAAACATTCATCTTCTGAAAAAAGATAACTCAACACACAGCTACATGCCCACCGTTAAGCCTCAAGCTTTAAAGACATAAAATCGATGAGCATTATGTGCCAACTTCCCTTTAGAAATAGCTTATGTGATTCACTCTTCCTACAGCAAAAATATTACATGCCAGATTAGTTACGTTAGACACAAATGTTGTGCCTACACAGATACTTCTGTGGTGGGAAATAGGGCAGATCTCTTGCCTCCTGCATTAACTGTCCACAACAGTCTCAACCTGTACTGCAGAGGAACAGCTGTAAAAGCCAGATCAAAGGTACATCTGTCCTGCATCCTCTGTGCACCAGTGACCATGAGGCGCTGGTATACACTGGTTTAAGGCACAGTGGATGCACCAAGTGACCCTTCCCCATTATATTGTCCTAGATCCAGCAAATAGAAAGGATAAAGACAGAGACACCTGTTTATCACATAGTGGATAACATTTAGGTTTCTTTCTCTGGCTTTCTTCTACCTTTTCTGGTAGAATTCTAGAAAGCCAAAACTGTTCATGCTGAAGAGGCAGTGCTGAATTATTGATTTTTAACACAGTTGGATTTGTTTCTATGAAAATTGTCCTCAACTGATGGTGAGCAAAATAAGTCAGTGGCTCTCAGGCTACCTATGCAATCAAAGCCTCCAGCTGCAGAGGATGAAATACAAACATTGGGCTGTTTTCTTTTGACTGGTCCAGCATCTGTAAAAAATCTTATTAATATTTAGAATGATTCATTCTAATGGATTTGCCAGGTGACAGCCCTTATCTGGAAATAGCTTACTGTGTGAAATCAAAATGGACAAAGTACGACACTGCTAATCAGATACACAGCAGGACTTGAACTCCTTTCAAAGGAACCAATTTCTTACAGCTTCTGCTGCACAGGTGACCTACCTTTGTGATGATCTAGAGCTGTGATGCACCAGTTACAGAGCCCTTGGTGAAATAAAAGGAAGGAATATTCCTTGATATTAAAGGATTGCTGCTTTTTTGTTGTTTGCATTTAAATGGACACTATTTAAAAGCCTGTCTCCACAGGCAAATATTTTTATTCTAACATGTTTAGATTTGGCACAGCCCCTAAAACCAACAAATCATTACCACCAGCCTTCTTGAAACCATCTTTTTTCCTCATAAGCCATCTCTTTGCCAACAGAAAAACCTGCAGAAGCTAAAACAAAGCAGGACAAGAAACAGATGTCTCAGGCCTATCACTGAGCATAAGCTCTAGGCAATGTGAATGAATGTCCCATTTGATAAAGAAGCACAAAAACAGCGGTAAATGCTGCTTTCTGGAGACACCATCTTAATTCTTTCCCTCTATCAAGCCCTATAGTGTTAGTTGTTTAGGCATAATGCAAATTATTGTATATAACAGGATTCAGGACTACAAGCCAACTCAAACTGTCCAGGCTCAGACATACTTATTTGCTTGGCGAGTTATTTTACAATACTCCAAGAATGCAGATACATGGATTTACACACCTCTAGGACCCTCCTCTTATTCTTGTTCATCTAATGTTCAACAAAGGAGAAAATAGAAACAATTGCTGGTTTGATTCTGCCGAGCCATTCTGGGTTGCCCTTCATGCTCTGAAGGAGTGCATTTTGTGGAAAGGATGGGAGGGCCTGTGGTCCCCAGTGCATGTGCTCCTTCTCGCGCGATGCAGTCATGGGGGAGAGCACAGACCTGCACCCTTCCCTCTCAAGTGTGACTGCATCTGCTCCCATTGGCAGGGGCTTTACACTGAAAAGCCAAAACAGAAAAGATGCGATTTTCAAGCAGTGAAATCAATGTGATGCTGAAGAGAGATGTATTAGACCTATTGCATTTATTGAAAAACATGTTTAAAAAAAAATCTGGATGTGCATTGCTAAAGTTCTGAAGAATAGAGTTCAAGCAGAGAACACGAAGAAGGAAAGCAATTATTAGGTGCCAATACTCCAGCTGCTGGGTGATTGCATATGTGTTTACATAGCATTATGCCTCAGTCCTTGCTAAGCCAACACTATCAGACATTTCACGACAGTTTCAGTTGCTGGAGTGATTGAGTGGTTGCTATTTATTTAGGAATCTGACAGCTGGAACAAGCTGTTGTGCCTCCTATCAGACACCAATAAACAACTGTCACTTTGTGCTCCATAGCAGAAGTCAAATGATGTCTGACCAGATCTCCTCTTGACTGTGTACTATATATATATATAAAAAAAAATGTTGTTTCAAAATAATAGGTCTCTGCAAGACTTAAAAAAGCTCTAGAAAAATATGGATCAAGGTATTGGTTCTAGCTTTTATATCCTTCTTTTAAACACTGCTATTATCTTTCAGAGTTATGCTATTATTGCTCAAACAATGCTCTCCTTTCCACTCTCCAGGCTAAGCTCAGACGGTTTAAGAGGATTCTGTCCATTAGGACTCTCTTCTGTACAAGAAGAGGGTATTAACAGGGCTCCTGCTTCAGCATGCAGGAAAGCAAGAATTCCTGCTAGATGTGCTTTAGGTGTTAAGGCTAAGGCAAAGTTTGAGTAACGGTCATTAAAGAGAATGAAAACAAGAAACAAATGGTCAGATGAAAAAGATCAAATCCTCCTCTGGGGGCGGCAGGGGCGGGCAGTTCTCTCTCCATAGCATAGGAAGCCTGAAGAATCTTGGATCCTAACTAAGGCATCTCAGCAAGATGAGATGGACCATAATTCCTCTAGGGCAGGTCCTCTATCCTGGCATCTCCATGTCTTCAGCTTGTAATCCAGCCAGGTGACTCAAGCAGAGGCCTGAGGACAAAGGAAGGAACATTTCACGGCCTCATGAAACAGGTTAGCTCTCTGAGAGGAACAAACAGCAAATATCAGGACTCAAATCAGTTTTAGTCTTGGTGTGTGAATAGACAAGAGAGCATTCAGGGAAGGGCAGCTTTTTACAAAAGCACAAAATCCTTCCAAGTCAAAGGCAAAGGCTCAGAGCTAGTTGTTTATGACAGTGGACTTCCCTCTGGAAGAGTCACTATGAACAGTGTTAAGGCAGCAAATCACAGCTTACAAATTCAATTCATTCAAGGAAAAAAATGCCTTTCCATAAATGCTTGCGCACATTATCAGCAAATCAGAGAGGCTGTGTCCAAATAGCCATTGTTCCTCCTGCGGCTCATTATTCTGGACTCGCATTCTGCAAGAGCACTGACATTCAGCAGGACGCCATACCAGCTGGCCTCCCCTTCCCTAGTGCTGCTGTTGGGTCACCATCCTGACCATTTCCAGTGCCATCTCTCCTTGGTCAGACGGTACCTAGCACAGAGATGAGAGCACATGGTAAGCAGCTGCTATAAGGAAGCAGATAGTAAGCGTACACGCATCTTCAGTTTTCTTGCTGATAATGGTGCATCCCACCCCACAAAGTATATTATTTACCATGTGCCCAGCCTTAAGAATCCAGAAAAAAGCAAAGTTCTCATAGGCCTTGTGGAAAGCAGCTGTCTCAGTGGATTCTGGAGATGCATAGAGTGCCTTCCACCTTTGCTTGCTGAACTGGTCCAAATTAGGCCACTTCAGTTTCCGGATCCATGCCTCCTGGCCTGTTAGAGATCAGAGATATGCTTGATTACTGATACTGACACAGTAAGTTGGAAGTCCCAGTTCAGCCAGATGCCCTCTGTACTAGATACCAATACAGCAGAGTTAGCGGAAAGTCTCTGTGTGGTCAGAGTCTAAAAACAATTTTGCTATGCCTAGGAAACAACCAAGGCTATGTTCAGGAGAAGTGGAAACAAACCAATGGAGGGAGAAGGGAAAAAAGCAAACAGTAAAGGTGTATGTGAAATGAACTTATGATTGCACAAGGTGAACATGTGCCTCTTAGAGGCTCTGCAGCCCTAGCAATTCTGACATATTTTGCTTTACTCCTCAAACACCTTTAGTGTCCTGCTATGGAGAAGGATCAGCCACACCAAGTCCCCCTCCTGGAAATCAGAGGAGACACTGCTTCTCTGTTTGTTACAGTCACTCATCAAGAACAGCCTGGAAAGGTTTTCTGTTTTCAGGTGCCTGCTAGAGAAGGTGGAGGTCAAGACAGCAAAAAGACCAATTCCAGGACATCAAGGGGGACAAAACTTTAGCCTATCTCTGAACTACTGGAAGAATTTACATGTTAACTGCAGCTCAATTTTAGCTCAAAATGTGATAAAACTGGAGCACCACTAACTGCTAATCTGTTTGGACAGCCTAAATAAATACTCTGTTTCCTGATTTATTGATTGCTATGTTATTCATGAAGGGCATCTAACTGGGCAGAGACAGACAAAGGATAAAGCCTTTCACAACATAGGAAGATGTTTGTGCAGTTTGTGAGTGCAGATTATTTAAATCAATAAGAAAAGGTGAATGGAAGAGAGCACTGCAGTCTTGCAGCATGAGGCATTTCAGCAACACTTGGCCTAGCTCCCGAACTGCCACTTGATCAAGCCTGCATCTTGCAAGCAGCAAGGGACAAACAAAGCCCTTGAATGGCCAAGTGGTGCAGGAGCCTACACGTGTTACTGAGCAGCAGGTGTGATCACAACTGCACCCTCCCTGATTAATTACCAACACCCTTGTTCCATCTCACCTGGCACCACGCTCTCTGCTGCAGGCCACTCAGTGAAGGCTGACCTGTACCGTGCACAAATCTGTAGCAAGGTATGACCTTTGCCCCACAGAACAGGATCTTCAAAGCACAGGAGAAGAGAGGATAATCTCCAGATATTTATTCATCTGTCCTCATTCTTCATTTATGAATGAGTGTACAAACATTATATATGTCGAATTAAGTGAATTATTAGCTACCTACTTACGCGCTTCACTGAAACAAGCAATTATTGATGTTGCAGATCCATTTCCCAACAGTATAATGGAGGTAAAGGAATTGCCTCTGAGAGGGATGTAAACAAAACATACTAAGAGCTGCTCATCCATGACTGTAATATTTAAGTGTTGTCAGTTACATAGGAGATTTGCACAGAAGACTGGAGAGATCCAGGTACCAGTATTATTGGCAACTTCATGTTCTACTCGTCACGTGTTCTGTTCCCAACCCCAGTCAAGAAGTCCCTTACCCATGGTGTCAACAATGAGATCCAGCTGCCCATTATAGACTGTAACATTGACGCTGGCTGCCAAAAGCTGATCAACAATATCAATGACAGGTTTCATGAAGTCCTCAACCATGTTCTCAAAGACATCCCTGGACTGACCTGGTTGGAACCAGAAAGAAGACAAATTTTAACTGATGAAGAATGTCATCCCCAAGCTGGGACAAAAGCAACTGGCGAAGTGTTCTAAAATGCAGTTCACAGCTGCATAAAACCCACTCTTAGCCCAAAGCGGCAGCCAGTGATTCATCAGTCTGAGGAACTAAAAGAGAACCAGAAAGCAGCCATGCTCCCACTGGAGCTCACAGACAGCGTTGTAGCTTCTGACTCCTATTACATACATGGGGTGCTGGCATCAGTCCTTTAAGCCTTCCGTTCTGTTTTACACCCTCCCCTCCACACCATGCAGCTTTACATGATACCAGATTTCTGGCAGAGAAAAGCTGACAGGAATTTCAGCAAGAATGCTTGAAAGACAGAAACCAGCTGCTGAGATACAGAGGATCTTCTTCCTCCCCCTGTATTTTTACCTGCTTGGCTAAAGATAGATACAAGCAGCAGAATCAAAACCAGAACCAGATCTGCTCCCACAGGCCTGCCCCATTACATGTTCATTTCTGAGAATAAGTCCTCTTCTTAGGCCCAAGGATAATGACAATTTAATGTGTCTGCTTACTACAGTAAAGTATCTTCCTGCAGACTGCAGTACTGTAAACAGCAATAATGGACTATTAGATGCGCACTAGCAGACAGGAAAGTACCTCCCCATTTCACACAGTCAGGAATAATTTTTAGCTTCTTTCTGATGGGTCCATTCATCAATTCATCTAGGCTTTCCTTATGCATATTTCTGACATGGCGTTGGTAAAGTCCTACTGAAAAAAAGAGAACACACTTTGATTAGCGGCACATTTAAGACAGTCATAGATAGCAATTTTCACTGTTAACAGTCATGGCCCACAAACTCTTTTCTAATGAAAAATGGAACACCACAGAGAGATTTGCTTGCTTTTAACAGAAACCACTGAAGTCAACACTTATTTAGGTCAGGAAATGATATGGGAAGAACCCAACCATCCATTTCTACTTTTGGCTAACACAGCACTTTTTCAGGGGACCAGCTTCTCCTTTAGCCACTTAGTACAGACACAATTTCATCTCCTCAACAGACCAGTTATTTTTGAGCTGCAGTGCTTTACTTTTGGGAGTTAACTGTGCCATTCACCTTCCCTGCTGAAGCCAATAAAAAGAGATAAAGAGCTTGAAAGAAACTCTATGCATGAGTTTTTCACATTGGTGCATAAACATCATGGAGCAAACCAGTCTAATCAGACTATACTGATGAGCCATTTTTGTGTCCTAGCTTGAAGACACAAATGAAAGACATTAAGAGGAAGTGACTTAAAGGTCATAAAACTATGTCACAATTATACTGACTACTTCCTTGGTGTAATTTGTGCAGGATGTTTAGGTGGAGGTGTAATCTATAGAAGGGTTGTTCCACATTCCTATTTATCCCTATTTATGCAAGAGCAAACAAGTTCTGCTCAGGAGAATATCAATATCCTTTGGATCTGAAGGCCCCATTTTAAGGATGTACTAAATTGAGGCTATTCCCACTATCAGAGTTGAAGGTACACAAATGCAAACATAGGGCCTCAGAAGCTCAAGTACTTAAACACAACTTACCGAGATGGAGATTTTCTTGTTCACTTGATTTCATTTCTGGAACCTCCTTATTCATGATGTTATAAAAGTTCACATTGTCTGTGTTCTGAAAACACAAGATAGTTTCAGTAACACTGTAACAAAAAACATTTCTCAGATATGAGGAAGACTCTTTTCTGAAAGAGGAGGTAATTAAATCCTAAATAAAGGACCCTGTGACCTGCCACTTTACCTACATGTCAGGAGGATACTTATGGAAAAGCTTTGGTTCTACATTTGCTTTGAGAAGTGGGGAAGAGATTTCTCAAGTCTGTGTTGTTCACACGTGGGTTGTGCCAGAGATGCTATTTACTTCTCTGAAATGGATGTGAAGCTACAGGGAGCCTTACACCCTGCAAATGACTGCAGATTCTCATTACTCATTGTAGAGAGCTGCAATGCCAGATGAGGCTTTCAGATGGTCTCTTCTGCTAGATCTAGTCTAGCCTGATGCTGCCCCTTGGTCCACATCCTCCCAATCTACAACCCTTCAAAATCTAAAATGCTTCCTCAAGAACACGGTGATCAATATCAGCCATCCCTCTTTTGGAACTGCTGACATCTGGATGCGTCCAATAATTGTAGAATGGCAGCTCTGATGCAGACAGCAGACTGCCTGCATCCACAGGACAAGTGTGATCAGTGTTGCCATTAGAGAAGTTACTCGAGATTCCTGAAGCCCTGCTTTATTCAATTTTTGAATTTTTCAAGTTCTAATGCATAGGTCAGAAATCAGCTCACAACAGCAACCCTAGAAGAACTGAAGTGCCTGCACCCTGACAGTGATATCACAACTGGGAGGAGAAAACAAGCAGATTTGAAGAGAAAAGCAAAATGGGAACCACAAGTTCCTTGCAAACAGTAAGAAGTGAAACCAACTATGTGCAAGGCACTGTCAGTTACAAAACAAAACAAAACGAGCAAGAAAAGGAAGCAGCTCCAGATTAGTCTTTCTGTTTGAGGAAGCCAGAGCCTTACTTGTACTAAAACAAAAACACAAGAAAGAATGAGATTTTGGAGCAACCCTTCAAAAGGAAAAACAAGAACAAAACTTTACCTATCTTTTAAGCTGTTACTTGCTAAGTAAAAAGATGCGGTAACCCACAGTAACAGGACATAACTTGAGGTTCCTTTCCACCCTGTCCACCTATTGTAGTTGTTTAAACAGAGATCTATGCTTAGCTTGAAATTTGTGCCTTGCTGGATGCAGTTTTCAATATTCAAAACAAAGCTTTCAAGGAGACATAGCTCATTTAAGTTGAAACTGGGTTCTGTAGAAATCAATGGGACTAACTGCACGCTAAAAATTAAGCATCTGTTTAAGTGATGTGCCAGGTTGAAACCTTGATGCAATACTGCAAGGCCATGTGGGTCACTCTACCCTCTGCCTCTTACAATCACACAGAGCAAACAAACAGCTCTTTCACATCAGCACTAGGATAAAACAAATACTGGCAAAAATGACTGGGCAGGGGATTGGAGAATTCACACCAACCCAGTGCTCATAGAAAGGATAACCTAAATTGTGTGCCTCCCCAGGCATCAGTTAGTTAATAATGCTGTTCAAAGAAGATCTCACCTCTTCAATGACATCTTCAGCCTTGCCCCAGAGCTCAGTGGCCAGCCCATACTGATTTTTATTTATTGCATCCATTATTTCTTTGGCAACAGCGGTCACCTCTGCTAGACCATTATCATCAAGGAGAGACTGGAAGACAAACACAAAGGGGGACAACTTTAATTATAATTTCACATTCATTTCTTGGTAACAGTCTCCATGCATTTGAAGTTTTATTCTGTCTAAGAGCTAACCTTAAAAATCAACATCCTTTTATACTCTATGGCAGTACAAGTAATCAGGTGAGGACCAAGAGTTTAAGAAGGTACTTACAGTGCTGTAAAGGTAGGGCCCCCAAGACAGCACAGAGTCTAAAGAAACAGAACATATTTCAAACCCATGAGCTTTTGACATACAATTCCTTTACTTTTTCTTTATTGTTGCAAGAACGATTGTGACAAAAATATACGGAGATGAATTAATCAGTAAAAAGGTACTGTCAGCTCTGTTTAGCCCAAAGGCTATGTACCACAGAGCAGGTTCTTTACAAATCCTGAGAACCAATAAAAGCACTGCAATGTCATTAACCCCTTAAACATTAATCAGTGAAATTTATTTAAAGCAACAGACACGTTCTTACCAAAATGTTCTCACCCCAACACTGCAGCACATTGCTAGAACATGGGGAGCGATCTGACAGGTGAATGGGCATTATCTAAACTGATCTGTTTGCAGATTACAGGGGAAAAAATCTAGTTATAAAACAGATTTGTTTTATAACAAGTTTGTTTATAAGGTCTCAAGGACCAGCTGATAGGAGACAGATAGGAGTTTGCTTGATACTGTCCCATGCTGCAGAGAATCTGTGAAGGCTGCCCTTGCAAATCTCACTGAAGGACCAAGAGTCCTTTAATTTGGTTTTTGTCCTCCACCAGACCACACCCTATCTCTTCCAGGTCTGTGAGCACATCAGTTCCTCAGCACAAGGCCTTCTTGTGAAAAGAAAGAAAACCTCAGTTGTAATCTTGTGAATCATTTGGTGGACACATTTTAAGCGCAGTACTCTTGCCAAAACACCTCAGAGGCTGTAGAGGTGCATAGGGACATTTCACCACCACCCCACTTGATATGCAAGTATGCTCCTCACTGACTATGCTCTCTAACTTTTCATAATCTAGATACATTGTAAAGGTAGATTTTTCAATCACAGCTTGCAATGCTGAAGTATTTCTTTTTGATTTACCAGACCCACTAAAGATTTAATTCACTTAAGGCAGGGATGGCATTTTTGACCCTAGATACTCATGGAATGATAAAACACCCAACAAAACAAAACAACAACAACAAACCACCCACAGTCTGAGGATTTTAAACATACCCAAAGGAGAAATCCATGAGTCTCCAAGAGCAGTCCCCATAAAATTGCACTTTATGGTCCCTTTTTGAACAGCCTTGGTGAATAAGAGGAAAAACAAAACCAAACAACAACAACAAAATAATCAACTTTTAGTTAGATATTCAAGACTCTAGAACCAGTTTTCTTTAAGTGAAAAAAAACAAGTCGCAGTCTGAATTAGGCAACAGGGACAGTGTATTCCAGGAGATATAAGTACTTGTAGAACACCACGTTTTAAAGTGAAAAGCAAACTACATCCTCCAACTACTTACCTCATGCAGCTCTAAAGCAATGCCAGCTGCCATTTTACCTCCATAAGATTCAGAAAATATGTAGAATGGGATGGTCTGGAGAGAGACAGAAGCCACACAGTGAACCCATTGGGCAGAGGGCAGAAAATACCTCCAACCATCTCCCACATCCCACAGAACCCAGGCACTGGCTGTTCACCTTTCACTATCAAACACTGGATATTTTTCTGATTCTAAGCTGCAGATAAGATTTCCAGAACATCCTGGTGTAATTACTGAGGGAAGTTCTGAAGCAGGCACTTCAGTATTTTGGAATTAGAAACAGCCGTGATCCTATATGCTTCTCGGTTGGCATGATAGACAATAATGCACCCCATTGCTTATCTAACTAGCACCAAATTCAAGATACAACTTCTGAATTATGGGAAATAAGAGGCAGTGGCTATACCTGCACTGACTCCCACCAAATGCGTGCTACCTAGTAGCAAACACCACCCATCTGGAAGTCTGTTCACTAATTCTTTTTGAGATCTGTTTAAAAACAAAGAAAAATACGATTCTAACCAAGAATTCAATTCACTTACCTGGAATTCTGTTCTACGTGTGAAGAATTCTCCAAGAAAAACCATCATATCAGAAACTACTGTGGAAAGGTTTTTGGCAAACAAGCTACAATCATCCACATAACTGAATCCAGTGCCCACTGGATTATCCACGAACAAGATACTGGCTGCCTGCAACTGTATGAGCAGAAAGAAGGTTTGTATGAAACCTCAGTTCAGCATTAGTGAAAATCTTAGTTTTGATGGCACAAATGATTGAGCCAGGAAATCTCTGGCCCTGAAAGAACTTTCAGAAAAATTAGGTGCAAGTCCAAAAGAGAGAATGGTACAGGTGAGACTTGTCTGTCAGAATATAAAATAAGAGGGTTTTTCTTTTGTGGGTTGCTGCACTTTTGTGAAATTGCTATAGCAAATGCTATAGTTGTATAGTTATAAGTGGACAAATTAAATCAGTAGATCAGCACACAGATAGCTAGCATTGCTCAAAGCAGTAAGGCTCACAAATAAAGAGGTACAACATAAGGTCTTTTAATTTGCTCAATCTGCAACAAAAAAGGCACGCAAAAAATTCCAGTGATCCAACGGCAGATCACCCATACGGTCTACGGAACTCCAGAGTAGTCAGACTATTGGTAGCTCGGAGCACAAATCCATTTCATTGAATAAACTTCCACCTTCATAAGCAGCTGTAATTTGTTTTCCCTTAAAGGCCATACTGGATTTGTAATTACAAGCCATTGGTTATACATTGCCAGCCATCCAGAAAAACCTCTATGACTGTACGCAATGAAGCTATGATCTGAAATAACATCTTTCTAGAATTTCGCTGCTTTCAGGTTCCCAGACATCTGCAATTCAGAAATTCGTGGAAGCCCAGACATATTCCATCAAATCAAATCAACATGACTATTCTTCAGTTCTTAACAAGGCTATTCCTATAAGCCAATTTATTAACCACACTATTTTAAGAGGAATTATTATAGCTGCATTGAATTTCAAATGAAAACTGTTCTGTGCATTTTTGCATAGCAATCGTCTGCTTACACAAGCAACAAACATTTGCAATCAGTAATTAGAAGCTGAACTCTCTACTATACCCAGGTTGTATTTCTTGGTTTCATTTCTTTGTCTAATGGACCAATCTCTTCAAAGTTCCCAAATCCACAGCCTGAAGCTCCTGGACCTCCCTGTGGGGAAATACCAAATGACAAATAAGTTAGAAGGCAGCACGGTATAGATATGACAGGAGAAAAATAAAAGCAAGCCAGTAAGTAGAATGACAGATTGTAAATTTAAAAAAAATGGCTTTTGCACTATATGTTAATTTGCAAAGCAAATTGAGCTCTCTTCCTCATCGTCTTTCATTACGTGTACACATGCCATTTTTGAAAGCAAGAATTTAAACAGAGAAGCAATAACCCACTTGCGAAAGCATCTAATGAGTTGCATGTTATGTGTGTGCAGTTTGAAAACCCTTCTCCTTATTCCCTTAATACTGAATGCAAAAGTTAGCTATCCACAGAGGTTTGCAAGTCATTAGTTTTATCAGCATGTACATTTCACTCTGAAGAAATAACCCAGAAAGAAAAAGACCAAGTCATCAAGTGATTATATTAAACATTAACTTCTGAAATGTACTGCTGGAGGTGAATGTGGAGCACACACCACTGCCTTTCATCAAACTGTGATTGAATGGGACCAATCTCTAAACAATCAGAGTCTCTCTTACTTGTTTCCATTTAGAAATCTTTCTAAATCTCTGATTATTTTATCTACCCTCTCTGAACGTTCTTTAGACTATAAGATCTTTAGGAAAGGAGCTGTGATGCTACAAGGTACCTGTAGTGCTTGGCACAAAAAGCACTACTGTTGTATAAAAGATAAGAACAACCTCAATTTCTGCAATTTAACTTGATGGCAGGTGAGCAGTTGACGACACCCCACAATTGCAGAATGATATTTTCATTATTTCTTCCTAACCTGAATACCTCATTCACAAGGTGAATCATTTAGAGTTGGACAATTTTGAATCCTATTTCTGTAGAGCTGCAAGATACCCATCAGACTGAACCAGCCACAGATGGAAAGAATTATCATTTAAGTGTCTTTCACCAAACCTCACCTGAAGCCACAAGATGAGAGGTAATTCTGTGAAGGCTTTGGTTGGGTTATTTGCATAGTAGAGCCACCAGAACATGTGGGCCTTATTTCGAACTTGCACATATCCCCACAGCTCTTGGGGCTCTTGGGATTGCCTCAGAACTACACCTTGAGGGGGGAAATAAAAATAAAAATCAGCTAGGTTAAAAGGCTCAGCTTTGGGCTTTCCACCAGATTTATACCAAAACATTACATTTCAGTCTTGGGTGTGATAATTAGAAGTGCTTCCATTAAAAAAAAAAAATTACTATAAGAAACCTGCCTATACTTACGCCCACACACATAGCTGAGTTATCATCAATGAATGAAGCTAAGCATGTAATTACATGCTTACTTATCAGGGCCTGACGTTACAGCTGTTGCCAAAATAACAGCCCAATAGCTAGGATAATTTTTACTATCAGGGAAACATTTAAAGTCTTTTCAAGGCCTGGGCTGAAAGCGCAGCCCCAACTAGACACGATGGAATAATTCACACCAGCTTCAGGGGCACCAGGGCTCCTTCAGGGATCCAACACTTTTATCTTACTCTCTGGGAAAATCAAATCATTTTACAGTCCCCCAAGGACAGTAAATACAGGATAGACAGAGGGGTCACTTCTAAATGAACCCAAGATCTAATCCTAAACTCAGTTAAGTCAGTAGAGTCTCGTCAACTTAAGCAGTCAGTCTGTTCTCCATTGAGGATACAGGCACTTTCCCAGAAACAGACCTTTGCAACTACATCCCCCAATCTTCTTGACTGTGCCAGAAGGCAGCAGTCCACTGGACAAGCAGCAATAAAGCTTTCTGAGCCCACAGTGCCCAGTCTTTGCTGATGCACAGGACGCAGCGCTGAACAGGTTATATCACTGCGGGCAACACCACGCTTTCTTGATCAGCCCTCGCTGCAACAGCGGTGACACCTCAATACGGCTGTTCGGCTCCTTGCAGCCCCCGACCCGAGGGGTTTCGCAGATAAAACACTGCGGCCGTGGGCCTGTGCTCCTGCCAGCCGGTATCAGACGGCACCGCAACGATCTCACGCTTACAGGCATGCTGGCTTATGTGGCTTCTCCATCGTCCTTCGCAGCTGCCAAGGAACAGAAGAGGGTCTGGGGGGGTCTTTTCCACGAAGGACAGATGACAGCTCAGGGTAAAGCAGCGATGAGGAGCGCTGCCCCGGTTTGTGGGGAGCCTCTCCCACCCAGTTTACCCAGGTGAATCAACTGGGACCTGAATTTCCACGTTCCTGCTCCAAAAGGGTTCCCTGGGGCTCCGGCGAGCGCAGACCCCAGCCCGGGTGGGAGGAGACGACTCCCAAGGTCGCGACAGCCCCCGGCGACAGCCCCCAGGCCCGCCCCGAGCTCGACCTGCTCCCACCGGGGCTCCCACCGCGCCGCCGCTTTGACTACCCCCTTCGCCGCGTCCCGCCCGGCTACCGACCCCGGGGCGGCGGTGACGGCCGCGGCGAGGCTCGGAAACCTCCCGCGGCTCAGCCCGGGCCCTACGCGGGACGGGACGTGCCCGGAGGCCGTCGCTCCGGCACTGCCCGGGGCATGGCCGAGGCGCAGGGCAG